AGAAAATAACAGAGAATTCGCAATCGATCCTTACCTAACCTAGATGGTGACCTAAACTAGTCAGAAAATAACAGAGAATTCGCAATCGATCCTTACCTAACCTAGATGGTGACCTAAACTAGTCAGAAAATAACAGAGAATTCGCAATCGATCCTTACCTAACCTAGATGGTGACCTAAACTAGTCAGAAAATAACAGAGAATTCGCAATCGATCCTTACCTAACCTAGATGGTGACCTAAACTAGTCAGAAAATAACAGAGAATTCGCAATCGATCCTTACCTAACCTAGATGGTGACCTAAACTAGTCAGAAAATAACAGAGAATTCGCAATCGATTCTGACTTGAACTAATGCGAAAAAAAGATAAACATTGTAAGTCTGTAGCCAGTCTGAAGACATGTCACATACCGCACAAAATAGTAGAGAATAACTCAGTTCGCCGCGGATGCGAATTGTCCATGATCTCGTTGAATTCTACTTCTTATAACTACTTGACTTCCTTCCAGACTACGACTGTTTATTCACGAAAAGTGAGAGTCATCAAAGGTCACGGACCTGTAATAACAATGACTCAAGCCAAACAACACTAAAACACTAATAAAAAAGAAATAACAAAATAAAAATAACTAAGGTTAGAACTAGTTATAGTTAAAAAAAAACTTTTTAAAAGAATAAGTAAAAACGAATAAATATAAATACTTAACTGACAAAACGTTTCACTGGAAGAGATACGGAAGCAAAGCTGTTTTGAAAGACATGAAAGAAGAAAGACGAATAACTGACTCTGGGAGATTATTCCAATCAGCAATAGTTAAATAAAAAAATAAAAATGCACCCTTTGTGCAGAAAAACCATCGACAGAAGATGGAATGCGAACATATTTAGAGTGATGAAAACGTAAAGATGAATAACGAGGACGATGAATAGTATAAAAAAGAGAAACAGGACTTAGACGATGATAAATTTTGAAAAATTCACTTCTTATAACTACTTGACTTCCTTCCAAATCGATCTATCATCTATTCGGTGTCTGCTACTCTACGCTTCTTTGTGAGTATAATTAACTTTACCTTCTATCGTTACTTTCTTTGCTTTTAGATTGATATATCTGTCCTTCGATTTCCACTTGTTTACGATTATTTGATTCTCGTGAGTACCTTGAATTCTACGCCTTAGGATTACTTTACTTCCGTGTAGACCGATCTATCAGCTAGTCGGTATTGATTTGTCTGCTACTCTTCAGTTGTCGGTAGGGGATTTAATTCTACCTTTTGTAGCTGTTTTCTTTTCTATGAAGTTGATCTATCTGCTTTTCGATGTCCACTTGTTTACTACTCTTCGATTTCCTGTGAGTATATTTAACTTTCCTCTGTATAGTTATTTCCTTTCCTACGAGGTCAGTCTGTCTGATATTTGGTGTCTACTTGTCTACTACTCTTCACTTGTCTGTAAGTATAATTGATTTTACTTTTTATCATTATTTCCTTTCATTTTAGATCGGCCTATTTCCTGTTCGATTATCATTTGTCAATGATCCTTTGATTGTAAATACTTGAATTCTACTTCTTACAATTACTTTACTTCGTTTTAGGTCATAAGAATATATGCGGCTAACGTATTTAATTTCATATAATTTTAAAGACAAAATACAATTATAATTACCATTAAAATTAAAATATGATATTTCGACTTATATATTCGGTCATTATCAGGTTACTGTGATGTACATGTTGATGCTTCATGTGAAAATAAAAACTATTTCTAGGTATATGTTCATGTTTTCCTTTTCTTTGCTTCTATTCCGCACTCACACATTTTTTTTTGAGTCACTTGATCTTTTCCTCGTTGTGTGAGTGCGGAATAGAAGCAAGGAAAAGGAAAACATGAACATATATCTAGAAATAGTTTTTATTTTCACATGAAGCATCAACATGTACATCACAATAACCTGATAATGACCGCATATATAAGTCGAAATATCATTTTAATTTTAATGGTAATTATAATTATATTTTGCTTTTAAAATTATATTAAATTAAATATGTTAGCCGCATATATTCTTAAATTCTTATTCTTAATATTGCCCTTACGATCTTTATCCTTTTAGATCGGTCTATCAGATATTCAGTGAGCACTTATCTACTAGTCTTTGCTTGTTTGTGAGTATTTTTAGTTCTCTCTCTCTCTCCTATTGTATATATATATTATATTCATTTCTAATATTTATATTCATTTCTTTTAGATTGTTCTATCTACTCTTCAATTTCCACTTGTCTGAAATTCTTTGTTACTCGTGAGTACGTTCATTTCTGCTTCTTATAGTCTTATAGCTTGTTTTCTTTCTCAGCGGTCTATCTGGTTTCGGTCTTCATTTGCTACTGATCTTCAGTTGTTCGTAGTACACTAATTGTAGCTTTTTTTGGAATTATTGTTGTTTTAGATCGACTTGTCTGTTATTTTGTCTCCCCTTGTCCACTTTTCTTCGATTGTCTGTGAGTGCATTGAATTTATTCTTTATAGTCATTTTTTCTTTGGAGGTCGATTCAACCGTTAGTCGGTCACCACTGGACATGGGCGGGACGATCCGGAACTCGGACCGGGACCAAGCTTTTTTGACCAAAATCGAAAATTGTTGACTGTCGCGTAAAAATTGCGTTTTTTTATCGAAGTCTACACTCTTGGATGCGTTTTCGATTGTAGTCAGTATGCGGATTTTTTTATAAATATTGCTTTCGTTATTTCTTATCTATTAGTTGCAACACTTCGCTAGTAAAAGCAATTCTCTTTTCTGCTTTGGCCTTTTTTAGATTTGTTTCTTTGTTACGGATCTCGCTGTTTCACAAATTGATCCTTGGGTAATTTTTGTGTTATTTATTTGGTTTCTTTTCTCGCTACAAGCAAACTGAAAAATGGATTGAAAAAAGATTTGTTACGTTGGAACTACAGATGAAGGGGAAATTTTTTGATTTAATTATCTAGGAAAATTCTGCTTTCTGCTCGTCTAGAATCGAAGATATCAGAATTTGCCGAACTAGCATGCGTATCCGAAACTCAAAATTTGGTTTTATTTTAACCATCGGACAGGCTATTTACTAAAGTTGCGCGCTCCAATTATTTTGTGATTAGGAATAAGACCATTTTTTCAACCTTCACTCTATCATACGTTCCATACAAGCTACAAGCGATCGTGATCATTCGATGGCCGCCAGTTTGAATAATTCATGCATATGTTAGAGAGACAAACGTTTGAACACTAGTAGTTACACAAACCAACCGAAATCATATGGAAAACTAGTCGTATTATTTCATTTTTATTGAAACTCCCGTTAAAAATGAACATCATTCATGATGATGCCGTTTGTTGCGCTTCAAATTTTATCGTGATTTGGCCATCTGGTCAGCTGCTTTTAAATAAAAAATCAGCTCAAAAGAATGAGTCATTGAAGGACGATCGACATCGGCAAATACAGACGGAGGAGCTCGTTGAGAACATCCATGAAGGAGCATCACGAAAAAATTACTTATTTTTTTATCCTACCGCACTTATGTGTTTTCGGCCGAGCTCTTTCGTCCTCCAGCAGAGTCGTGAGCTGGAAAGTTTTCGCCATTGTTTTGAACAATTTCTTGTTAGTGTTGGTGAAATAGTGATAAGAAGGTGTCATAATAATACTAAAACTAACGCGTAGTATTAGTTGGCTAAGATGAATGTGACATATTAGTATTAAAAATAAACCAACTAATGCTTCTCAAATGCAATCTTTTCTTATTATAAATTATGTCAAACTTCCTCAGTTTTGTGTGCTCTTTATTCTAGACATGTTTTTCAAACTGTTCACCTTTCTATTCCTCTAGAGCACGTACTGATTTTATAGTACTGGTTCGATACTGTGTACAGTAACATCCTAAGTACTGAACCAGTTTGTCGTCAGTATTACATTACTGATACCCAGTAATTATTTATGATAGCATCAACAGAAAGTAGTAGCGAATTCATCGATATTACGTCAAGCTAATGCCGGAGCGGTAAATAGAGGAATACCCGGACACCCAGGTACCACCTTGAGTAAAAAATACCCGAAGGAAGCTACGAATAAAGAAAAACTATCGCGAGACGGAAACGGTTACCCTCACATCCCCTGGGAAAATTCTTGACTACGCGCTTGGCTAGTACTACGTTTCTGACTGGTCCTAGAGCGTTTCTTTAAAAATATTGAATCGGTACTGGATCAGTACTGATATATAGGAATGTCCCAAGTACTGACGAAAACGGCGTCAGTATTTCAGTACGTGGACTAGGGTCGCCTCTTAGTGAAGTTGCTTTGGTCACGCCTTTGTGTAAACCTACTAAGAAACTGTTTTGAGGCACTCTTTGAAAGAGTGCCTCAAAATAGTCTCAAAAGTTCTTTGTCGTATGAACCTTCTACCTAATTTCTTTTTTCTCTTCCATTTTTGCAGGTCTAAATGATACAAATACAAATGGTTCATTAGCTTCAAATATTTCTTCAACTGTACTATCACCAACTTCAACGTTAGTGGTAGCTAATATTTCATCTTCAACGCAAGCTACGACGAGTGTAGTTAGTTCCATCATTACTGTGACAGGTATGAACATTTTCGTAAAAATATGTCTAAAGCTTTCAAGTAAACGAGATCTGCTAAGTTTTTCATCAGTCTCATTTCATTATATGTTTTGCATTTGACTCGTCCTTCTGCATCTAGTACCCAGTTGTCTCAAAAGAAAGAGTCTCTTTCTTTTGTCAAAGTGCACATTTTGTGGCAAAGTCTAAAAGATGATTTGTCTTCGTCACATCTATACAGAGAATGGACCTTCTTGTTTAGCATACTCAAAACCACATACGCCGAGAACTGAACCTTTGTACCGGATGGTCCAGGGAAAATGGTGGTGCCAGTATTTCGTCAATATCTCTTTTAGTTTTCATTGCTTACACTTGAACTTTTTCAAAAAGATTCCCCGTTCAATTCTCTACAAGAATGTACAAGGATGTTTGATCTCAAATTTCAATATGAAGAATTGAACTAATAATATTGTGTAGCTTCAGTATGTCCAACTTTCTAAACTCTCTAGCAAATAAAATAGATTTTCTTGGTTATGTTTGTTTGCACTTTGAGGCATTAAGAAAATGAACTAGCTATCATTGTAGCGCTTCAAAAGCTCGATCTTGTGATTGTAATAAAAAATTTCCCGTGTGCAGCGCATGATAAATTTTTTCTTTTTGACATTTTGCAAAAATCACGTTTTTGAAACAGCAGTTTCGGGGCATTCAGAAAATTTGCGTATATCGATCAAAAATAGGGTTTTTTGTGCTTATTTTAATTTTACACTAAACAGGAATGAATGACACATCGCAGCCCAGATTCTGAACTTAAAAAAATTCTTTTTTTCCGAATGCAATGAGCAAAATACGCTAAATTCTGGTCGTTTACCCAGTTTCAGGAAATTATATAGTTCTTCAGTCATAATACTTGGTTGAAACTGAGTTCACCCTACACCACGAGAAAGAGCACTCTGAATTGTACAAAAAAGTTGCGTCAGCGATTTGTTTCATTTGAACAATCATAGAAACTATCGAAGTTCTGATTAGAAAGTTAGACATGCTGAAGCTACACAGTATTATTGGTTCAATTCTTCATATTGAAATTTGAGATCAAACATCCTTGTACATTCTTGTAGAGAATTGAACGGGGAATCTTTTGGAGAAAGTTCAAGTGTAAGCAATGAAAACTAAAAGAGATATTGACGAAATACTGACACCGCCATTTTCCCTGGAGCACCCAATATTGAGTGCTTTTTTATCTTGAACTCCTTATTCGAATTGAAGGCCGTTGTACTCTATTCGAATGACGTCATTGCTCTGCCACTCGCTAGCAGACATAAACTATTAGTGGATGAGTCACAAAAAATCCTCAAAATTTTTTTCACTACTCGACGCTACTTCACCTGCTATAGCAAACCTATAAAAGTTTTTTTTCACACACAACCTTTCGATGCTTGTCCGGTCAGTACTCTTGGAAAAAGACGAAAACCATGCATGAGTAACCAGTTCATCAAAGCTCAGAATCAATAAAAAGAGTGGGAATAAGAAGGTGACACATATGTTTGAAGCATAGTCACGTCTCGGTATCTATATTTACACTCGCTCATCCGCCTATTAATTACTTTGTCTCTTTTTGATCGCAGGTCTTTGTGTCACTCGTTATTTCACGATGTCCGATTCTGTTGAAATTATCGACTGTTTAAGCAAGCCTGGTGAACGACTCCAACATTTTTGGAAAATATCTGAGATTAACAATCAGTTATCCGAATTAGTTCGATTGACGAAGGCAACTCATCTTCTCACCACCTACAAATTGTTCAAAATTTCTGCCAACGTTCCTAACACGAACAATTACCGTGAGATGATTGCAACTCTGGATCAACCATTCTTAATCGAAGTGCGACGATTCGTTGATAATGACCACCGACTCGAAGATTTACACAAACAAATTGACATGAGAAGAACCAGACGAGTCGCTATGCCAGGCTACAAGGCCATGCAAGAGCTTTTATGTGAATCACAACAACAAGCTTCGCGCAACAACAAGAAGAAGAAGAAAAGAAAGACAAAGTCGAAATTGAATGAACTGAAAATCGACGAAGACAGCGACATGAAATCGGTTGTCCACAGTACAGCGATGCAAACCGACGAACAGGTGTGACATTCAGATTTTCTTAGACAGAGGAAAGGCCAGAACAGATTTTGTGAAATCGTCTTATGCATCCGAGCTTCTTTCGACTGAGATCAACCAATGCTTCTTCGCTCAAAGACATGGTTTTCTAAAGGTCTCTTCGCAAAATACCTGAGATCCGATGGAGAACTTCGACTTCAGCATACAGTTATGCACTCTTCGCTACACGATCGCTCAAACCCAATCTTGACCCCTTTTCTTTTTTAGATTTTTTATTAGGTTTTGAAGCCGGAAAAGAGGTTTTCATAGGAAATCTATCATGAGACATTTAATGCATAGTTGTGGTTGGATTTTTGAACCTTGTACTCTTTGCTGAAGATCATAAAGGTGGAAAAAGTCCCGAGGCATGCCGATGTAGCTCGGGAATTTATTGTGCAGGAACGCAAGCTGTTTGAAACTAGCGGTGCTCAGACGAAAACCAATGGCGAAATTGATGATTAATAATTCTTCTGATCATTAACTCCCCCCCTTAAAAGGACAGCAGTAACGCCACATTTAGCCATTAAAGAACTACATTCTTGGTCATTATGCATCCTTAATCTTTTCTTCAGACAAATGTGACACCTAAACTACATCCAAGGAACAAGAATGCATCATCAGTGTCAAGTTTCTATCTTTTATTCGTTTGATGCTAAATAATTACGGAAACGAAAAATATACTCTCTGTAGGGGACTGTCCTGAATTGATTTTAAGCTATCGCCCAAGTCCGTTTCCGTTTACCTGTTTTGGGATTTTTCTCGTCAAAATAGTCGACTACCTCTCGCATATATTCGCGACTAAACGACTGAAGTAGAGTATTTTTCTTTGTCGTCATGAACATAATCATTCTGAGACGGTTCATTTGAATCCATGTTAGTTCCATAGCTCTCATCGCCGTCGAAACCGAACGTATGATCGAGAGAAGCTCCACTTTCAACGTAAAAGGACGTACTATTGATTATAGAGACAATACTGTCAAACAGGTGTTTGGCACCTCGAGAAGAACAGGTTCTTGAGGATGTACTTACGAGTAATTTTGTTGAAATTAAAAATTCGAAAGAATCCTAACTATGTTATTTGCAGTTACATTCTTTTTTCTCTATTATTTATAGCTGTTTCTCTTTTTTTTCGTTGCTTTTCCTTTCTCTTTGTCTCCAGTCCGATGGTAAAAGAAGGAAAACACACTCATGTAATTAACTAAACCAGTTGCATGCTTTGCATGATTCCTTTACATTCTTATCCATGAATAAAAAGAGGAAACGACTTAGTAGAAAATAATATCCAGGAACTTTATCCCCCGCTATTTCTCTCTCTTTCCTATTTTAGAATCGATCAACATCTGTATCACAAAACCGGTCGCCGACGTTCAAACTTCTCCGCAAGCTTCTTCAGCTCGAGAGAGCTCTTGCCTTTGTCTTGCTCTACTACTTTGCCAAACTCGATCATATTTTGGTCGGTCTCGTTGGACGTTTTCCTAAGCAACGATCAACCGACACGATTATGCAGCTCGTGATGAGTTCGGACTTCGCCGCCGCCGTACCTTGCCTATACCAGCTCTACCTACGATCGTTGCCGACCGAGGACGGCAAGCAAATTGATTGGAGTAGGGTGACAAAGCAATTCTATTTTGTTTCTTAAAGGTATTTTCTCTTTCTTCTATTTATTTTCTAAGCAAATTGAGATTGTTCATCAAATAAACTGTCTTACATGCGTGCTTCGTGGTCAAAAACATCCT